TGGTGATGTGTCTTTCTTCAAACCTTCATACGGAGAGACGTTTAACTAATGATAATCTCCGTCCTCGTGAAAACATGCGAAACAATCCATTGAAGAATTGCAAATCAGTATATAAAGGTGAGCACAATTTTGGTAAATGTTTATAATGTGGTAAACGTCATTCACATAATTCATGTTTATTTCATCATGCTAAATGCTTCAATTACGGCGAACTATGGTATATCAAGTCAGTGGGTTGAACAACCGTTCATTTAACCTCTAGTGATAATAAACTTTGTAGTTCGGATCCTATCAGTTTGGGTGACTCTAATCATCACATACTATCCTTGTTTACGACTCCGAGTAGTTCACTTCACATCCGAAAACCACTTTACTTGTGCAATGGTGCTTTTCATGATTTCATTGTTGACACTGGTAATATCAAATCTATCATTGCAGTCGGAAAATTGAAATCATCAGATTTCAGTGCTCTTAATAAAACTGTCGATGTTTATATTTCGAGTATTATTGGTGATAAAATTCGGATTCTTGAATGTTTTGATTTGCTGATCAGAGGTGATAAGTCTTCAACCATAACTTGTCAGTTTCTCATCACTAATGGTGGACCGTCTATCCTCGGATTAGATCACATAAAATGTCATCAAGCACAACTTCCGTTATTGACCTGTGTAGACAATTCCAATAAAATGCCAGATAAATTGTTTGCTGGACAATCTAAGTGTGAATAGTTGTGCACAACCCCATCACTCTCTTATTCTGATTTTCCGGTTGGAAGTTTCAACACCTTGAAAACAACAATCAGTTCTATTACTGCTGTGAAATTCAAAGGCCCGGAGAGAAGAGTAGAATAAATTTATTGGTATAGAAATGAAGACCGTACTCATGGAAATAATAAAAAATTGCCTAAAACATAATGTGTTCGTCCAAACATAGAATGTGGACAGTCTGCTGACGTCACATACATTCAAGAAACTGAGGTTTGACAATCCAAGAAAATTAATAATTCTATGGTTCGTACGCATGACAGTCACATCAGACAAATATTTTAAAAGGACCAAAAGAGTTCATTCCAATTTCCATTGTTCATTCTAACACTAATGAGCATTATCCAGACAATATTAAACATAACTTCAAAAGAGAATCTGAGATACATTCAATGAAGCTGTCGTACGAGGAATTGCAAAAGCCCAACATTCATTTAAGTTGTGGTGGTTGTGGCATTTTCACTAACTGATTATTCCTTTGTATTTGATAGCGTGCTCATTACGAATTCCAAATATAATACGTTTGGTTGTGCTCATCGACTTCTACCTATCTTGAATTGGACTATTGTGGGAATTTTCAGATAGCACACCGATTCCAATACTTCTGATTATCGTATTGTCACGATTCGACTGTACGCTTTATTTGAACAATCTGAAGTTGTCGAATGGATTGTAATTAGAACTTTTGTCAATCATTTCACACTCTAATGCACAAAAACCATAATATAATTCTGCTCCTATATATATGCAGTTTGAACAAAGACATACAAGTCACAGTCATTATAACATCCAACTCGATCGTGAATAAAGTAATTCGAGCAATAATAGAATGAAATCAACTCACCTGTCTGATGTCTCATTATCTACATGCCTTTAAACAAACACAAAAAATAAACTGCCTTTACTTACTATGAAAAGACAACTGAACACTTGAAAACAGTCGAGTGATTGAAGCCACAAGGATCTCACGACTAATTCGAACACACCTTACATTTTGAAGTTGTGATAAGGATTTCTCATCTGATATCTCCTGTCGTCTCCAACTTGTGCATTTATCCTCCATTAACTATTCACATATATGAACCACGCTTTTAATATATCACACTCGGTAGATAGAATTGATGTGGTCACCGATTCCCGACAATCATTCAGAATCACCTCCACATTTCAATGCACAGAACACATTCCACATACACACACACACACATACACACATGGAGGTCAAACACTGACTGATTAATTTAAATGAATAAGACATTCAACTGAACAGTGGACAACACACTTCAAGGAATTATATTGTGCCACAAATTCATCAATTCCAATCTGAATTTATATAGGCAAGAAAACAAACTCTCTTTAAATATATCAAAATGTGATAATTGTGAAAAGTCAACTTCAATATTTAAATTGTGTTGTGACGAATGTTTCGACAGGAGAACGTAAATGAACAATGTTTTGTATTGATTCGATGCCGAAATAGTATATTTCAGTTTGGTTTCGTTTGACTTTGTAAATATCTCCGTCCTCCTTGGTTTAAATATGTTCCGATGACGAGTGTCTAAATCAACTCACATCATACAACTCCTACTATCAGTGGATTTCAGGTTATTTCCATGGTTATTATCAATTCCTGTGTTCCAAGCATCTAAATAATTGAGGTTTAGGGTTCAGGATGGTGGTTCCATTCAGTGTTCAGTGTGTTGCTACAACTGGAATTTAGTGTATCTCAGTGCCATTCTATGACAGCGAGAGCGTACCGTTCAGACTCGATAAATGTTAAACATATAGGATAAAAAATGAATCAATGACAAGTGTCAGTTCACTCACTTTTGCACTGGACGTTTGGAGACTTCTCTAAATAATAGAAATGAGATCGAATTTCCTCATCGTAATGTGAGTCATATATTTGTTGGTGTTTAAATTACAATGAGTCTACTACCAATATTCATACTACCTAAGGAATCATTAATTCTGACCATGTTGCCTGATACTGCATTGTTATTGATGTTCTATTCATTTAACAGTTCACAATTCATGGGTTTTATCACGAATCTCTCTCCATCAAATAATACATAGTTTGTCTGACTTTCAGTAGATTATGATGGCTTTTCTGAATAACTTCCTTAAGAATCTGTGTTTTAGATTTACTAATGAAACATTTATATAATTTTGTTTATTATTTCTCATTGATTCCTGTGAATTTTTCATTTGTTTGTTTGCATGTGTTGGGATGTAACGCATGTTATTTAATTTTATAACGTATTCCTTATTCTTTCTTTAATATAGACATTTGGTTTGTTGACAAACGCTTTCTAAATTGAGACATCCTTTCATTTTTTCTACGTTCATTTGAATGTTCATATTTTTTTTGGGTTTTGGTTTCCGTATTGAGGAGATTTGTTCTGTTGTATTATCGTTATAATATTTCAGTGTCTTCTATCAGTGTAAAACCTTATACGGTTTGGTAGTTTTCTATGTGTATTATGAGTGGTATTGGACTTGATATTATATTTGAGATTTTGCTCAGATCAACCTTATTTTTTGGTTTTATTTACTATACAATTACATCACATTGTGTTTTGTCGACTCTTTCAGTGACGCGTGACACAATCGATGTAGATTGATGATAACCAGCTATGAGAATAATAAATGAGAGATTTCATTCCTACCACTTGATTTCCGTTGACTCGTCGTTGCAAATGTTGAGAATTTTATTTTCTTGAAAATGTTGTGATGTGAGATTATCTGGTTTATTGGACACCCTACAATCTCATTCACCAACAAACTTTAATGTGCGCCCTTGATGATGATTACATTATGTGTCTGAGGAAGGTAATTAACTGTTGTCTGCTCTGCACTATGTGAGGTTTTGTTTGATGTTGCTATGCTTTATTAGTAAACAACTAGGGCTGTGTGTTGATAATACAGGTCAGTTAAAAGACACTATTTGGGGATGTTATATGAGATCCTAAAATTATTTGGAAGTTAGAACAATACAAGTGAGGAAACAGATTTGCATCTTTCTGACAAAGATTGATGAATCTGATTTGTAAACTGTCAGTGTACCCGATTTTATTCAACGTGTTCAATATATTTAAAATTAGATTGATTAATTAACGGCTTTTTCATCAACTGACTTTGTTGGGATTTTTTCCGCACGCTCAGTTTTTTCTAACTTGGAAAATCTAAACTGTGTGATTTGGAGTCGGCAGAAAAAAGTTAGTGACTGCGTTATCAAGATATGACATTTTTCTCTGAATTTACTGGCTGTTGAATTATAGAATATCGGTAAATTTATACTTCATGGTTGGGTTTCACGCGATTATCATAACCAAATTTTAGAAGAGATCACGTGATATATCTCACAATCAGTTTTACCAGTTAAGAGGCATTTGACTTCCGTCCTCTAATAAAACATGAGTTACAATAACATCTTATACTTCTTTTCAAATTCTTTCTTTGTTGCCAAATCATACTGTCCATTTCTATTATTTTCTATTACTACAACTACTGCTACTACTACTACTACTGCTACTACTACTGTGGTGCGTGCTACATATATTGATATAAGTAGTATATGATGCGAGTCAGGAATGTTATGTCTGGCGGCAGAAAATGGGGAAGATCAAGAAAGGAAGAGCGGAACTGGAAAGCAATTAGTATGGAAATGCAAGAACAATAAAGTTCGAGACAATTATTGAACATTTTGCAAATTAAGTATTATAGTATGGTTTTCTATTTTACCAAGTAACTCTGTAGTTTTGTGCTAAATATAATTCGGTTATCCTCACCTGTATTCTCCTTCACTACACTACTACTACTACTACTACTACTACTACTACTACTTCTACTACGTATAACTTTATTACTGCTGCCATTTTTTGAATTGGTTAACATATACTAATTGTCTGTGACGAAATGATGAGGTAACTTTGTTCGAAACACAAATATGATGGGATCTATTTGCATATGACTGACTGAATTGTTTTTATATTTTTTCATTTATTTTGTTTTTACCTTTATGATCAAATTAATGATTGGATTCTATTCCTCTTTCGATTTGTCAAACGATACATCCGTCAGTATTCAGTAGTTTCATGATGTTTGATTGTACTGAGTTGGCTAAAATTATCTGTTCACATGTGGCTTTTATGGAATTTTAAGTAAATTCTAAAAACTTCAGTCAGTAAAAATTTTGATAATTTATTTTAAACATTTTAATAAACAAATGCTCACTTTTCAATTATGCGGACATCGCTTTTTCTGGAATTTTTAACAAATATCTTATTATGAGTAGAAATTATGGTGGCTTACAGTGGAATCCAAGACACGCGTTTCTTCCTACTTTGAACTTGTTAGCTGGATGTACTTACATTCCAGAGTTAATTTTTACTCCGGGACTCGAAACCAATACCGTTCGCCTTAAAAGTCATCGCTTCCAAAATGGGATGAAACGTGCGACCTGCATTCCACATCTAACCACTATCATCTATGATTATATTACTTGTGATTTAAGACAATATCAAGACATTCCTCACAGGATGAATATATGCCAATAGGAGACTGAATAATTGCAGTCATAAACATCAATAAGATGATTGAAACAACCAATACAATAACGAAATATCATATTACTTTTGTTAAATTCTATAATGTTTTCACATAGAAATATTGACTTAGTTTGCCGTTTCTGTTTCCTTCTATTTAAATACTTAGCTAATTTTTATTCCATTATTTGTTATGTATTTTGTTGATTGTACTATATTACAATAAATATCAACGTTGATTACAGACTACATCTTGGAATTTTTCAGAAATTATTCGTATAAGTACATTTACGCTTTTAATTTAACTAAAGTGTAATTGCATCTAAACTCCATTGCACAAGCAAGTGGTTATCAGGACTCAATAGCTAAGTGGATAACGTGATGGTATTTGAAGCGAACAGTACTGGGTTTGAGTCCCAGAGTGAACATCAACTTTGAGATGCAAGTATAGGTGATGAGTCCCAAATAGGACGAAACGTGCGTCCTGCATCCCATTGCCAGCCACTATCCATTTTTGCTTATAAAGCTTGTGACTTCAGGCAATATCGAGGTAGTCCGCACAGGACGCACATATGCCAACAAGAGACTGATCAATTGAAGTCCTAAATAACAATGTAATTCTGTAAGTCGAATAAAATATCTTTAAAGATATTTCAATATGCAATTTATCCAAGAGAATTTCTGATCATATGATCATTTAAAATCATTCATTCTAATAAGCATCATTAATAGTTTATAATAATTTGTAGAGAATGTTTTACGTAGAAATATGTTATAAAACATTGAATGAACTCACTCGTCTTCAATATGCTTGTTTAATCTGAATCATATACATAAGTTCATATTACTGAGTGTGTTAAATTACATTATATAGTTGGAAGATGTTGATCAATTCATTCTAACCTAATCATTTAACAGTACAAAGGTTATCAAAAGATTTAAGTATTCTTGGCTTGTTCATGTTTAAGCCTAACTAATCCAGTTCTTAAAATTTATAATAATGTAATTTCCAAGTTCTTAAGTAGGTTACAAATAATTATTTTGGTATATAAATCAGATTCTAGTGGCTCGTCTATAGAGTTAATCACATCTATATATCATGTACTTACCTATCGTATATGATTTTGTAGAATCTTATTTAATAAGAACAAGATAAAACCGATTAAACTAATAAAGATTAAAATAATATATCAGTTATTTACTTTGTTATTTGTATAAAAGTATACAGGGAGGAAGAAATAACTTCTATATGTTGTGTTCTTGGTTTCAAAACAGCGGTTTACAACTCCGTATTAAGTTATATCATATGTTTCCGATTTGTAGTATGATTTATATGGTGATTATTCTGTTATGTACATTGTGATGAATACTATTAAGTTATTATGACTAACATTCAAACTAAATCGACGGATGAGAGTGTCGTTTTACTAGTCATTTTGTCAACTATACGTTTTCATCCTAGACAAACTGTTTATAGTTACACTATCTTTTTAATAAAATCGATGACTGAAGGTTTTAATCACTAAAGAAATGCATCAAATTATTTGATTAGTGATTCTAGTGTTGCAATATATTTTGTTGGGATTGTATTATCAATTCCATGAGAACATTATCGATACGACTACTACTGTCATTCTAGTATCTTTTTTGAAATTTACTATTCTATTCCATTTCATTTTCTGCTTCGATACTACTTGTCGTTCTATCTTCTCTTCATGAATTTATAATTTGATCACTATTTATTAGATTGTTGTTCATCTTTATTGAAAATATCACAAAGTTTAGTTTCGTTAGTTACCAAAACAAACAACTGCATCAGATATAAATCGTCAGTCTGCTTAAATTACTTCAGCATCATTTGTAGACTGAATCCAATTTCCATGTGATTGTTCTACTGAAATCGTAGTAAACACCAGAATACCTGACGATTCGTGATTCCTAGACTAACTGATATTCACTACTATTACTGAAATAATATGTTAATATTTCAGTTACTATTCCACATATGGTTATCTCCATTGATTAAATTTATGGACAATTAATAATATTAAGGTCAATGTTATTGGTAATACTAATTGAATGATCTCACTCGGAGCATTTTCAATGTCACCAGTTTTGGAGACTGTATTTACGGTATTGACAAATGGAAACACTACTGAATTAATCCCCAGAAATTCCAACACTTGCTTATCTTTTAGTTTGAATAGTTATCTGAGTAAACTCACTCGTCTTCGGTGAATTGTTTGTTACTAAATGTATTAGTATGTTATGAAACAAAAGAGTGAAATAGACTCTTACTTTCAATAAATCAGATAGCTTGAGAAATATGATCCATACTTAATGGATACTACTTGAAATTTTATGTATTGTGAAAGGGATAGAAATTTAAAAGTTATCTTAGTAAAAACTGGTTTTTTTAAATCAAAGTGTGATTGATAAGCGAACTAAATTTACTTGATGTTTTATTGCTTAGATTTATTACTATGCTGCATACTGAAATTTTCCTACTGTATTTTGACTTTTGTTGATATCGCAAAATTCACCAATGCCTGAATAATTACTGAAACAGTTAGAACCTTCAAAGATTCTATTTTTCATTATTCATCTCAATGGTTACATTTTGAAAACTAGAATTTTCCTATTTTCCTATTCTGCATTTTTAGCTAGGAATTTGTATTTTTTTCTTTCAAATTTGTTTGTTACAGTAAAATCAAATTCAGAGGTACATATTTGTTATTTTCATTTATAAGAAGTTTTGTTGAATCAAAATCATTACTTCATTGTTTATATACAAACAAGAGAGTATAATATAACTTGATCTACTTCACTTTCATTTACTTAATAAATATTACTTCAAAATTATATGATCTAGAAAACTAAATAAATACTATTAGGATAACAAAGGCATATTCAACACTTCTAAGCCAACTAATACATTGTGATACCCTTATCATGTGTATTTAGACGTACAGTTATAATTTATTGATATAGAGAAACTCATTGAAAACTTTTAGTAAGGGGACAATACTTTGTGAAATAATCAGTGATCTATATTGTTTTTCTCAGTATTTTGTACAAAACTGTTGGGATATTCAGGAAAATATCCCAAAAATTATTCTATTAAGTCTAAGGCTATTCTTGGACTTGGAGATGGTATTATTTTCTTATTGGTCAGCACTTATTTCACATGTCACTTTCCTACTGGTCAATATTGTACAATGTTATTTTCTATTTTATGGTACGATGTAGTCTGCTTGATTAGTATATAAACAGTGTGTTTGAAATATAATGATTCATATATCCGAGGCTGAGACTTGCGTTCTGGACTTAACTGGCTGGGCTAGACAGGGAAGCGGGACCAATCAGAACCCTAGGCCGTTCTACGTGTTTGCGCGTCTTTGGTCCGATCAATAATTCGCTGTCTTCTAATCTGCAGCATCACAGATATAGCAAAAACAGTAATTGATTTGATATTTTGTAGAAATGAAGTTGAAAATAAATTGTCAGCCTAAACTTATATACATAGAGAAGATTAAGATATATAAGTGTTAACAGGAAATTGTATGAATAAAGCATATTTCCATCCTGGTTCATTATTAAACATAATTCAGTTACTTAAAGTGTTGTAAACTTTATGCCACTGGCTATAAAACTTATACAACATCAATAAGAACAATTTGATTGAGACATGTTTTTTCCAAATTCCTGGAACTTGCTAATAGTTATTACAACCTGTTAGACAAAAGCATAATATGCATTAAAACTATTAAGCTTCATAAGATTATTAAAAGTTGTTTCAGTAAATTAACAACAAAGAAATGTTTATATTCCAAAAAAAATTTGAGAATTTAAGAGAATGGAAACACTTACATCCCCCTTGACTGTAAATATTGACTGAATAATTAAAGAAAGCATAATTTAGACAAGATATTTATGATTATTCAAGTTGTGATAGGGATTCTATGGAATCAGTATATACTTGAAATGCTAACATTGTAAGTTACCAAGAAATATTGATAGTATTTGTGACATTTAAGAAAAATATATTTTAAATGAATTATAGTACAACATTGGTAATAAGTGAAAATATTTTTAATAATTGAATTCGTGAGTTAATTGAAGCTAGATTACCATGAAAAACCTGGAAGCATTGGACGGCCGTATCATCCTAATATGGGACTCCTCAGCAGTACGCACCCACAACCTCGCTTCGCGAGATTCGAACTCAAAACCTATCAGTCTCGCACGCGAGCGCTTAACCTATAGACTACTGAACTGGCATGCAATGGTCCCATCATCCACCATTGTCATCAGTGAATTACTATCTCATAACAGCTCCGGTTGAACTCCACTATTCATTTCAACATTGAATATGGTGAAGCAAATAAACAGATGTTATTAATAACGTGTCAAAACTTATATCATGATATTTAGAAACGCAACACCAAATATTTGAATGTAACAGGATAGCTATTGTTCGACACTGGAAATACATACTGTTCACAATAAAACCATTAAATAAGCTTTAAAATCTTTTAGGATGTATTAAACTTTTCACTTTCAAATTATACCTCACTTGTGGCAATATACGTGTCTCATGTAGGTTTGAATTGATTATAAAATCCTTTGCAGTTCTGAGACATTAGACTCTCCGTCTACACCTTTTAGTCAAATTTCATTCACTGTGTTTGGTTATTTTGTTTTTCGATAGCTAAAAGAAAACTCATGGACCTTATCTCTATTTATTAGGAAGTTATCTAGCATGGTGAATAAAATACATGCAGGAAACTCATCTACTATCATTACTGAATGTACAGATACATTATTAAGTTTTCATAAGGCAGATTATATACTTATAGATAGTTTGTATTTTACATCAATTAATGGTCAAATGACAACAGGCAAACATATTCACACTGAATTAAGATAGTTAATGTTCAATTATATTTTGACTGGTTATTTATTCATTTGATTATTAACAAATTTTACTGCTTCACTGCACGCTCGTTATTGAACACTGTAAAAAGCATGATATTCTAACCTAACAGTTAGTCATGTACTGCTAAGCAACTAAGTCAATAACTAATAAACCAAATTGCCAACTTCAATTCATTTTCGATATATATATAGAACAGTATAACCGATAAAAATTTCGAGTGAATAAAATTTATGGTACCTGAAAGTACTGGTTAATTTCAATAATGATCATAAGTATCAAGAAGTAATTTGAATTGATAATTCAGTATTTATTATATTCACTTGTATCGTACAAAAACTTCAAACAATTCAACTCAATTTTGCTAGTAAACTTATACATGTTACATTTAAATGTATTACAGTTGTGTAAAACTCCGCTTGGAACCCCTCTGGAGCTACTGCCGGTCCCAAGCCCCGATAAAGGAGGAGGGTTGGGCATGGGGTTAGCGACCTTATCCCGTAGAAAACGAACTCGCTAAAAAACGCTAACCAGAGAAAAAAATTATACAAACCAGAGTTGTGTAAGCTTATAAACTGTGCCTTGTACTCATTATTTCTTAAGGTTTCTAAAGTAATCACTCATTATCATATCAGGATTGAGTTATTCGTTCTTAATAATAAATACCACATTAAATAACATCATTATTAATTCTTAATTTGCTGTTACTTAGGGATATTTTTAATGGAATGATTGATAAATAAATGTAATTCAAATGTTAATACTTACTTCAATGAATTAAGTTTGGTTATTAGATGTCTATCAATTAAATAAATAATAATAAAGTATTATATTCAGGTCTTTTTGACCACAAATTAGTATAAAACTAACAAAAATAACAGCACTATTTAGATGATACGTAAACATTAAAGACAAAATAATTGAAGGCATTGAATATATCCATTTTTTAATATAAAGATTAAGCTTAACTTAACGGATTACTAAATTAGTTGCTGTGCACAGATTTGTTTATGTTGAATAAGTTAGTGATTAACTAATGACTTAAAATCTAACATTTAATAATAACCAATTTTATACTAATTATTATGTCAAAACAATAAATTACCTACTTCTGGAAGAAAGAAATCTTTGTTGTTTTGATGTTAAGAATATATCACTTTAGAAGAAATCCAACTTTTGGTTTGAGACTAATGGCAAGCAAATATACTGTGATGTAACTAAAATATTTGTCCTGCCGCTGAAACCATGAAAATAAGTATAATATCTTTGGAATGTTCATATATACTAACAATGTTTTATGTGATTCAATTTTCTACAAAACTCATGTTTATATTTATGAAGTATTTATCAGAATAAAGTGGGAAAAAACCCATATAACACTGAATTCAACTGGTGGAGATTTGTAGCTCAGATGGATGATTTTGATGGAGTTTTGTTCTGTGAGCTGGATGGTTTGGTCGTGAAGCTTTCATCATTCTTCTGAACGACATCATCAGCACAAACTTCGGATAGAAGTAAAGTGTTCGAATTTCACAAGCTGTAAAACGCATATGGAGAAATTCTAACAGTCCAATTCTATCTGAAGTTTGTGCTGATAATGTCGTTCAGAAGAATGATGAAAGCTCCACGACCAAACCATCCAGCTCAGAGAACAAAACTCCGTCAAAAAGGTTCTTTTCTTTTCTTAACATCAACTGAGTTAGATTTCACTTCTCTGTTAACTTCTGTTGACTATTTAACATATTCAGTAGTATTACTCATTTCAATAATAAATTATTATCAAATCTGCAAGATTATATTCTATTGTTTTTATCTTAAGTTCAATTCAACATCTACATCAACTCAACTCACTATACATGGTTAAATTGTTAAAACCATTTTACTAAACAATATATGAATTTAAGGTTTTTAAAGTAGGAGGATAACATTGATAACATTCATTGATCAGTCATAACTTAAAAATGAAGTAACATAACAACACTTACTGTTTTTGTTTTGCATCATTCAGATTGCTTTGTAAACATTCATAAGTTTAAATAATTTCTAATTATTCCTTAGAAAATATCAGTCAATCTTTAAATATTAAGTGAAATGATGAATTTTAATAAGGAAACTATTTTTTTCTTGAAAAATGTAATTTACGCCGACAAATTGACAGATTATACGTTCAGAAATAAATTTTCATGAATATATATATATATATATATATATATATATATATATATATATGAGCTCTTGTTGTAGTGGAGGCTCCAGTTTACCTCATCAGGAACTACAATAATCATCAATCACATGGAGACTATCTCCATGTGTTCCTAAATTACTGTTCTAATCTATAATGTAATCTCTTTAAAGTGTGATTAATCAGAAATCAGAACAACATATATAAGCGAATAATTGTTTTCAATTAGATCGTCATCAGGCTTTACTCTAATTTACACGAATATTTATACGAAAATGTCAAACCAATCAAGGCAATTTGGGTCAATAATCACAATGAAATAGAATGGGTCACCACACATAATAAGTAAACATTCAGTTGATAGTAGGAAGACAGCTGTACTGATAGTAGTAAGAATAATAAAATACGATAACGAAAGTCTTATGAATAGTTAAACGTTGGAAATAGAAGGTCAAACTTGGGTAAATAGACTTAGAATAGTCATCACAAAACATTAAAATCATTACGTAATAAGAAGTATGTAAATATTTAGATAGCGAAGAATACAAACGGAAAGAGGCGGAAAATTACAAACAAATGCTAGATATGAAAATAAGGCTAATGATAACAAAAATAGAATGAAATAAATAAATCAGAATGGGTTTTGTGGAGATTTTAGAAATTTCAACAGTTGAGATCATGAGTTAATTGAACCTAGACCACCATAAAAAACCTGGAAGCATTGGATGGCCGTTTCGTCCTGCTGTGGGACTCAGCAGCAGCGTGCACCCACGACCCCGCCCCTCGGGATTCGAACCCAAGACCTATCAGTCTCGCGCCAACTAGACCACTGAGCCAGCATCCAACGGTGGTAATGTCTAACTTCAACTAATCCACAAAGTTGAGCGACACATCCACCATTGTCGTCAGTAAGTTACCACCTCCCAACTGACCTGGTTGAACTCCACTAATCACAGTAAAAAATTTTAAAAAAAATCGTTAGTTAAGTTATAACGGGCCATGGATTATTGACCCCAAATTACCTTGATTGGTTTAACATTTTCGTATAAATATTCATGTATATTAGAGTAAAGCATGATGACGATCTAATTAAAAACAATTGTTCGCTTATATGTGTTGTTCTAATCAGAAATCCTTTTATATATTGATTTATATGTTTATCATTACTGATGTATTAAGCAAGAAATATTATAAGATATAAGTAACTTCTAGTTATTGTAAGTATTACTAAATTTTATGAAAAGTAAATTCTAAATTTATAAATGAATAACAGTTAAGTTCATGAATGTTTATTAGAAGATTACTTTATCTAATTCATCTATTGTATATCAATGTTTAAATGTCAATAATTCCTAGATTGAATTCAATTAAGAATTCATAAACTCTAAATGTATAATCTCAATGAGAATATATTTATGATATTTTATAGAATAAGAATAGATCACTCGGTATGAGATTTTAAACTAAATCTTAGATCAATTTGATTTTGATAATCAACTGAATGATTTCAGGAACTAGATGAAAATCAGTTTGTATGTAAACAAGAATAATGAAATGAATACTATCAAAATAGAAGACATGGAAGTCACAAAAAAAAAGAAAGAAAAAAGAAGAAAACAAACGAGAATAAACTCACATATCAACCGTATAACCATATTCTAAATGAAGTTGAAAATGTCCAAATTCAGCTTTTTAAAATTTCTTACTCTTACTGTATTAGACTAAATGGTTATGAATCACTTATCGAAATATCCTTAGAAATTCTATTTATGATTATCATCTGTAAAAAAGATTAAACTTAAAATGATCTGAGTTGTTTACATTAAAGTGTTTATTTGGAAACTTAAATGTAAAGAACAGTTAGACATTTGATAAACGCAGTGTCGAAGGTCAATTATCTTGGTGTTACCTTTTCCTCTGATCTCTTTTGATCTTCTCACGTTTTATTGTTATCGAAGAAGGTTTTCCGTCTGACTTACTACATAGAGAGATTGCATGCTCTTGAGATTACTCTTACAATTTGTCAATTCTCGCATATCACCTATTATTCTCTACTGTTCTCCATTATTCTTTCCCGGGCTTTTGAGAAAAGACTTTGCTGTATTGCGGAGAGTGCTGAAGGCAGTTAGCAAGATGTGTGGTGAATTTTTCGAGGTCATAATTAATATGGTTGTGGATAGACATCTAAAGTCATGCAAACTCCTGGCAGGTGTTATTTTATCAGATACTAACCATCCCCTTCACTCATATCTTTCTCCTTGTATATCTTCTGGTAGGACGAGACGTAATTACATTAAAATCCATGCACTCAAGCAAAAGTATAAAAGTTCTATAATACCTTACCTAGCAAATATACTCTGTGACGAACAGGTTGTTAGAGTTGACCTAGTCAATAACCTGCATTCTTAACATGTCTTTAATTTGAAAAGTTTGTACAGTTTTTTCGGTTTTTTAACCTTTTTTTTCCTTTTTTGTCTTTGTCTCTGTTTTTTTTGCGTAAGTAACTTGTTAAAATACCCTGTGCTGAGAATTCTATATTGTACCAAAATATAATATAGAATAAAGCCATTAATAATAATTAATTATTAATTAGTTAATTAGTTAATAGCTCATCCACTGACAAAACAACCTATTTAAAAGAAAGCACTTATAGTCATTCATACATTCATAATATTTAATGACTTCATAGGTTTATCTGCACTAACGAAAAGTAACTAGTTATTAGTTATTTTAACTGAATATTAAAGTTCATTCTATTAACAACAGTAATTCGAATCAACATATAGATTAAGTTGACAATTTTGTTGTAAAAAAGAGTGGTATTGGATTTTCAAAAGTATTGTCATCTATTCATAAACAGATTATATTATTGTACTCTTTCAATGGTGTGTTGACTTTGAAAAGTTACTTTAATAAGGAAATCAATAAAAAATAGAATAGATATTATAATCTAGAATATTTGGGTTAAATTTATTGGATCAGAAAACATGAAACAATCATAGTTATTGATATCAGACTTGTTTTTCTTAGTTGTTAGCATGTATAGTTGTTATGACAATCTTATAAAAGAATATACATTTTAGTTATAAACTCATTTAAGCCACAAAATAAACCTATAAAATTCATCATTTTATGAAAGTTTACATATCATTTAATAGAAAAATATTAATTGTACTAAAATATCTTCAGAAGTATACAATACAATAAATTATACTTTCAATAGTTGAGATCATGAGTTAATTGAAGCTAGACCACCATGAAAAACCTGGAAGCACTGGACGGTCGTTTAATCTTATTATGGGACTCCTTAGCAATGCACATTTTATACTAGAAACAAAAGAGCTATCCAGTGTTTCCAGGTTGTTCATGGTGGTCTAGCTTCAATTAACTCATGATCTCAACTATTGAAATGCACTATATTGTCCGAGAAAATAAACCCCTTCTAAAATTATTCTTTCTTTAAATATTCATACTCACCTTGTGAAATGAGCAAACTGAAAATGCCAATTATACTAATGAAAAATAATTTCATCTTAATGAATTTCAATTTTCAAGTTGAATGAATAAAGTTTGATGGTATTCTGATAAAATGAATTAGCTTTAATAGTATTTTTGTTAACAGATTATTGTGTACACAGAATAATGTGTACAGTGTGTGTGTGTGTTATTTTTCCTTGAAAAAATAAATACTTCTTCCAAATATGGCGTGATATTCTAACAACAAGTTTTGAAACTAGATGCTAAAACAATACAACAGATACTGTTGACACAGGACAACATGACATAGTTTAGTTAAATAAATATGTAGTAAATAACATGTAGAAAAAAAAGAGAACAGTATAGTATACATAACATACTGATATTGCTTACAACAATCATTGAAAATCATGGATTGTTGAATAGTAATTCAGTTGTAGTGTATGAATTTACAGTAATGAATATCTAATAATCTTAATAATAAGTCGTCCAGAAACTGTCAAATCTCGAGACTAATACATTACTATCAAATCTATAAAGTTGACATTCAGTCAAGAGATTAGAAAGTTACTCAGATCACTAATTGATCTAAGACAGACAAACATTGGAAACCTGGAAGCATTGAACAGCCTTTTCTTCCCAGTATGATACTCTTCAGAATTGCACACTCATGAACCTCTACCTGGGATCTAACGCAGCGTCTTCAGCATTGTGGTACCTCACTTCTAGACTACTGATCCGAGATCGGGTGGTGCACAAATCTAACCATACTCCATTCTCTTCGTTTAGTACTTTCCTTATACTTAACAATGTTGAGCTTCACAGGCCATCATGTTTGGCAAGTTTAAGTCTAATTTCTCTTGAGGTACAAAGGATATTCTAGACGTTTCGTCTCCTTACTTGTGTCATCAACTTCTAGGTATTATTTTGTATTATTAGTCAGTCTGTGTTGCTAGGTTGGATCAGCTTTCATGTTACAGACATCTTTTATCCCCTTTATTTTCAATAACACCCATACAGATCATGGGACAAGTAGAGGTGTTAGCTATTCGAAATGTGTGATATTTTCAGACACATTCTTAACATTTTTGCTTAACTTCACCACAGACCTATTGATGGAAATAACGTTCTCGTCGACTGAAGTTTCGGGCATTAATTTCTGACCGGAAGGTCCTGTTTGATGAAGACACTGATAAAATGCAGAGTCTTCTGGTAGCACTAAGCAACAATGCCAGAATGTCTGTGATGCTCTTCTCTCCCTCTAAATACAAGTTGTTGCTTCAGGACTGGCCTTCGTCAACACCTGAATTAAGGATACAGAGTGAGGTAGTCGAACGCGTCAACAACTTCACTTATCTTGGAAGTTTGATCACCCCTAATGGGTTGGTATCTGATGAAATCTCAGCACGGATTCGAAAAGCTCGCTTGGCTTTCGCCAACTTACGTCACCTATGGCGAAGGCGAGATATCCGTCTATCAATTAAGGGACGAGTATACTGCGCGTCTGTTCGTTCTGTTTTACTTTACGGCTGCAAAACGTGGCCATTGATAGTATAAGATACTTGTAAGCTTCTAGTATTAGATTACAAATTTCTTAGAAATATTGCTCGCATCTGCTGGGATCACCGGGTAATTAATAGTGGGGTTAGACGTAGGATATTAGGGAATGATGGTAAATCAGTTGATGAGGCTGTAAATCTTCATTGATTGAGATGGTTGGGCCACATGTTACGTATGCCCGAACACCGATTACCACGACGTGCAAAGCTAACCGGTGTTGGGGATGGTTGGAAGAAAGTTAGGGGCGGTCAAACCAAAACGTGGCATCAGTGCTTGAAGACATTAACCTCTAGTCTGAGCCATGTTGGTAGATGCAGACTACTTGGTTGGGGTCGGCGTGACTTTCGTAACCGATGGTTGGAGACTCTCAGTGACATGGCTCAGAATCTATCACAATGGCGTAGGTGTACACACTCTCTGTCTTCCCTTAAACTATAAGATTAAAATTACTTTATACCTTTCTGTATTATATCCTTATATGCAATATTGCTTTATTATACTACTACCACTAAATTAACTACTTTTATGAATCCAGGGTTCATCTTGTTGTGTTAATGAGATGTAGCAACTTGGACCGATGCATATATATGCCTGGTCCTACGTTGTAGCTGACTGGCTGACTGAATGTCTAGCCAACTTGAACCAATATAAAGGAACATTATGATGAATAAATTCATTTTGCAATAAGAACTTAGGTGTTCACTTTGTTCAAATACCAATTTTAGTGAAACACAGAAATAATAGGATTTCCAGTTCTGTATATGTTGTGCTTTATTTTATGACTATGAAATGTCTATAACTCAGTAGATTTTTTTCCTGTTTCAAGGTGTATTGTATAACATTATCAACCAACCTATAATGCAAAAACCTAGTCACCTAATACGTCAGTTGTTTCAACGGATATATTTAGCTTGAATTCCAAGAATTGTATGCTATGATCGGTATATCTATGAATATACCACTTTAGTAATATAAGACTGAAATGTGAGATATATTGCCATGTATTTGTAACTAAGTGACATATTTATCATCTCAGATGCACTTTGATATTCTAATACACAACAACTGAGTTCTATTCACTTGTATAAAACCATATTTTTTACGTTTATTCAATGATGTATGAAACAAACTATTCATCTGATTCAAAGAAAAAGTAGGTGACATTTATGAATGTATTCGGAAAAGTTGTTATTTGGTTGTTCAAAATTTATAGAATTTATTAAGACATCAAAATTTTCAGTAATTATTATGAAGTTGAGTCTCTGGTTTTCCCTATATTTCCAGATGTTCGAATTTGTATAGGTCTATCACGGATATATATATGTTGTTTACTTCCATTGATGAAACGCTAAATGGATAAAGAACCTATTTGACAACTTTAACCACATGATTGAATTATATATAAAATATAGCAGTTAAAAAGATCAGTTTTATGTTGAACACTGTAACAAATATAAGTTTATAAACATCAAATTTTAATATTATTTTAGTAGTTGAGATCATGAGTCAATTGAAGCTAGGCCACCATGGGAAAACCTGGAATCACTGGATTGCCGTTTCGTTCTATTATGAGACTCCTTAGCAGTGCGTATCAATGATCTCGCCTCGCCAGATTCGAACTCAGGACCTCATGATCGCAACTACGAAAATTACTATAATATCCATAAAAACCTTTTCTGAAACTTTAATGTTTCTGGAAGTTAATCACACTTGTTAAATGAATAGTTAATGAGATGATGTATCTTGCAAATAAGTGGTTCGAAACAGATGAACAATAAGTACTAATAAATAAAAATAATATATTTGTAATATCCCAATGAGTAGAAAATTGGATTTTCTGACGTTTCGTGACTTAGTGTAAGTCACTTCTTCAGAGAATAAATAACCAAATTAAAATTAATCCAAGTTTAAATAGTACAACGGAACAATGCAATAATAATATTGGATCAGTCAAAAACAGGTCTGAACAAGTTGATGTCTTGTCATTTCTGTCATGGTGATTCATAAGTGACATGTATGTAAATTTGTGTGTGTATGTATGTGTGCAATGTTTAAGAATGAAAACTTGTGTGACCTTTATGGTAAGAAAGGATAGAGTTTAAATTTGTAATATGATGGTGTGAAATTGTAAATACGATCGGACTGAATGGCTAGGATAGATGGTCCAAGTAGGATGTATGGTAAGACCTTCTTTTCTATTGAGAGAAGTAGGATTAAGCATTATATGGAACGCCTCAGCTACCCTCCTTTCTTTGTAGTTGGAAAAGCCTTTTTGCAATATTTTGATATTTTTAAAATCGATTTGGTGGTTATTGAAAATGGCATGAACTGCTATTGCCGATTTAATTTGAAGTTGGTTCAATTCTACAGGATTGTTAGGAGCTTTCTTTGTGTACCTAATATGTTCTTTGGCTCTAGTCACGATTTCGCGAGATGACTCTCCAATATAATAGGCATCACAATCGATACAACCTAATTTGTAGACGCAGTTCTGTGTGGACATGAACGGTATTTTGTCTTTCAGGCGAACTAAAGTATTACGTAGTGTGTCCGTTGTTTTGTAATACACTTTAATTCTGTGATGTTTTAAGATTCTTTGGATTTCTTCTGTTGTGCCATGACGGTATGGTAGAACTACAGTACCAATCCATGGCATTTCATTCGAATCATTATTATTATGTAATAAACTGTTTTGTTTTAATATGCTTCTAATAATCTTCATAGGAAAATTATTAAATCGTAAGATGCTAATTATATTCTTTTGTTCTTTTTGTTTGTCTTCCTCTGATGTGATGATCTTGTTAGCTCTTCTAAAAAGATTTAAGGCTAGCGAGATCTTTGCACTGAAAGGATGTGCTGAATGGAAGTCAATATAACGATTTGAATGCGTCGGTTTTCGGTAAATGGATAGGTTTAGACTTTCATTTGGATTTCTTTTTACTAAGCAATCCAAGAATGGTAGCTCACCATGTATATTTTCATTTTCATTCGTGAATCTGATGTGCGATGAAAGTGTATTTATTCGTTTTGAAAAAGATCTTAGATGAGTCTTTTTTATAACAACAAATGTATTGTCTACATATCTAAGCCAAATTCGTGGTATAATGTTGTGGGCGAAGATATTTGATTCAATGTATGCAATAAAAAGGTTGGCTACAATCGGGAACACGGGGGATCCCATCGCTACACCGTTAGTTTGTTTGAATAACATACCGTTAAAAGTAAATAGCGTTGAATTTAAGCAAAGTTTTAAGGATTTCATGATTAGACTGATGCTCAACGGACATCTGTCAGGAAGAGTATTGTCGTTCTCAAGTAAACCACTAATGAATTCTAAGCATTTATCAATGGGAACACTTGTGTATAAAGAAACGACATCAAAGCTTATCATGATTTCATTCTTCTCGATGATTAATCCGGATAATTTTGATTTAAAGTCATATGTGTCTTTAATTATATTATGTAAGTTGAGTTGTAGTGGTTTTAATATATTGC